ATATAAGTTTGAACAATTGTTTTATCGCAAAAATTGTGTGACTATTATAACTTTTATATTTATGATTATTATTATATTATACAATAAATTATAATAAAATAATATTATTCGATTTATGAAGTTTTCATTATTAAAAAATTAATTCATATTTATTTATTAACATATTTATTAAAAACGGAAATCACATTAAAAGCAAATGTAGGATTAATGTAATCGTGTCTTATATAAGAATATCTTACTTTAATAGATTCTGATGTTCTTGAATACATTTCTTTAATTCAGAAATGGTTGTGATTTTTTGCAATTTTTCGATGAGTATTTCAAGTCTTGCCGATGTAAACCATATTAAGAGCGCCATAAAAATATTCATACATAGCTGAGCAGCACCTTGCACGCAAGCTATAGTTTGCTGTATAAAAATAATAGATTTTAAAGGTTGACGATAAACATCGAATGGATACTCAGCGTTTGTTGGAAACGGTTGATCTAATGTAACGGGTCCAGATATAATGAAAATAGCACTTAGGTAAATCCAAAACATAGAGCCACCGTAGAAATAGACACATTTATTAATATATCGTTGAAGGATCGCTTCTTCGCGAGGTTTAAGTAATTCACAAAAATTTTCCATTTCGAAAGTAACCAACTGGAATCGATTATATTAAATATATAATTATCTTAAATATATCGATTAAATATACGATTATCGTAAATATAAAAATTTACAAAGAGGAAGTGTATACAATGATAATACATTGTCTATTTTTTACTTTTATGTAATAAACTAAATATATAATAATTAATAAATGCTCATAATAATTACTTGTAGGCGACAAGAATTAATTCTACAGCATATAATATTGCAAACGACTTGTATAGCGGGACACAGAACACTTATCGATTTTGCGATAATGACAGGATCATTAAAGTGATTTCGCATCGCATTTATCAAACCTGTAGCTACACTAGAGAGCACAATTATGTTAAAATATTGATATATTCCTGCACAGATAACTTTCAATTTGATTGTATCTTTTGGTAGAGGCCAACACCAAGTTGGGATCAAACTTAGTTTTACAACAGCGATGACTTTCTTTAACGTCAACTTTGACCACATGATTAGAATGTTAATTGCACATATTCACATATTATAATATGTATAATAAATATCTATCTTAAAAAGCTTCAACGATAAGAAGATAAATAATAAAGAAAATTTTGTATATAACACAAAGGGTTATGCTTGTTTTCATTGCTTCTGTTTCACGTCAAATATATTTCCACGATGAAATTGTGATAAAATAAGCCATTAAGATGCATATGTGTATGTGTGAAAAGTAAGGCTTGTAGATTTATTCTACTAATATCTATTTTTAACATAAATTACGAAGGTGGCATTCGATAAAGGTATTATGAATTTACGATATAATCTGGAATTTTCTCTCTTTGTAGTGTTTTCCTTGAAATTACTAGGGCTTTTAGAAAAGAACATTTTCCATAATATGCGTGGAATATGATGTTACAAGATTATGAAATGCGCCAGTAATTGAGGAACCGTTTTGCAGTAATTACTTTATAAACTATTCAACATATGTACGATGAATTTCCTGACGCAACCTTAGTTTCACTGAAATGCTTTGAAAATATAAACCTTTTATTAGAATGCGAGTGCTGCAATTGATATATCAGGAAATTTTATGTACTTAATATCTTTATCTATTAAGTGTAGTTAATTGACATTTATTTTTATCTAAAAATTATTAAAATTAATAAAATGAAATTTAAGTTTTGTTTCCTTATAATTATTTTTATATATTTTATATATTTTTATTATATTTTATTTTAAAAATATTTATTAAATATTTATTTTATGAGCTGTGTAAAGATAATATACAAATGAGATAACTAAAATTTTAAGTAAATTAAGTGAATTTAAGAAAATTGTAGAAGAATTTCTAAACTATAAAATTAAACAACAGAAAAATTAATGATAATTGTGACAATTGCACAAATAATTTACAAATAATAAAAAATTGTTATTTTAATTGAAATTTTAAAGAATTTTAATTTATTTTTTCATTGGATTTAGAGCAATTTGAAACACATGCATATAGCAAGTAATGAAGAAAGAAAAATATGAAAAGTGTATAATTAATAAATGATGCATGATTAATAATATTTAAGATGGATGTAAGATGTACAAATTGATTCAATAAAATAACGCGTTTTGCGGCAATAATAAATGATTTATTATTTTTTTGAATTACATTACATAGTTTGCTGAATCAGAATATCGTTATACATATTATGTATTACGCATCAAAATTTATAGTTTCTTTATATAAAATTCCACATTTATTATCAAATAATTTTTTTATGCAAATATTAATTGTTTAGGACTATTATTTAAATTAGCGTGTGATCTTTTTTAATCTGTATTTAGCATTACGCGCAGTGTTGTAAAATAGGACATTATGGTTGAACAGTACTGGAACATGTAAAAAAATCTAGTTAAATCCTTCGTTATATTATAAAAATAAATTTTTGATCCCTGAAGTACAAACGTTACATAATGAAAATCATGTTAACAAATATGTAAATGATAACGATTTTTAATTAAATTTTTAATTAATTCAAATCTCTGTCTCTCACCGATGTCAAGTAATTAAAACTTATTGATGGAGTAATATATGGAACTGCAATTGTTATCACTTTTTGACTTCTCAGCATGATAATTTGCAGAAGTTTCCGTATTTCATCAGATTGATTATACCAGTGTGTATCAAAAGCAGCCTGTGAGATATCGTTGCTCTCGAAAAAGTAACAAATATTAATTATTTATATTATAATTAGTTTTATGATTTTTTGTAATAAATACTTTCTTACTAAGAAAATCAAACGTTCTGCCGGCCAAGCAAACATAAATACTTCTGCTAAACAAGCTAGAATCATGAAGGTATATTTGAACCTCAATAGTAGAGATTGATTCTGTTTAAAAAAAATTATATATGTATTATTATTCCCATTGATATTCTAATACTTAAAATTTTTAATCATGTTATAGTAAATAAAAATTGACCGAGAAATATTCAACACAAATAATCGAAGAAGGCCATATTTGATTAAAGCGAATTTTGATATCTAACAATATTTTTATGAATCTTTCAATTTTTACTTTAAGCAAACTGTGCGCTAATTATTTATTTTCGATCTTAAACTGAAGTTGTAGTACGTAATGTCAAGCAATTTATTAATATCGATACTAACGAGCACTTTAAAATTGTAAAGAATTTATGAAAAATATTATCCCGATCAGGATTCGACTTAGATCTTATTTATACATTTGGACCTCTCTACATTTCTCAATGGGTCTAATGAGAATGGCGAATAATGGAAACATAAGAAGGTTCAGATTCGAAATTTAACTGGGGTGATATTGTCCGCAATAAATTCTTTATGGTGTTTTAAGATGCTCATCAGCATCATTGTTATTAAATAGCTTGCCAGTTTAATTGATGATATTGCATTATGATCTAGTTTCGTTTTAGAACTGTGTTTTAAAATTGATAAATAATCGGTTTGCTTGAACTAGAAATTGCAAGATTTATGCAAAAATATTATCAGTTATCAAGATTCGCAAATGGTACTAAATACAGTGTTTTTGTTTGTTTTAAATTTAATTGGGAGAATCTCTCTCTCTCCATCTTCTTTCTCTTTATATAAATGGATATATATTAAATATATTTATATAATTATGAATATATTGCGAATATATAAATTTTCAGTATATTCTCGAATTTCAAATGTAACATTTGATAGTTTTAATTATATATTTTTTTAGGTAAATTTTTTTTTTTGAAAAGAAATTTTAATTTTCAAATTATTACATGTACTTACGGTAAGAAATGAAACACCAATTATTATTAAATTAACCGTACTACAACATATACATGTTAATGCAAAACAACGAGCAACAATAATAACTTCTGCTGTGTACCTGAATAAATACATTTTAGTTCTCAATATTTATATTATCTAAATTTTTTAAACTAGATTACGTGCACAAACAAGGATGTTATATTTAAATTATTACTTACTCAAGTATTTTTTGATGTTCCTTAACACATTTGACCAATTGATAGACATTTGTGAAAGTCCTCAGATCTTCGATTATTATTTCAAATCTTGCTGATGCAAACCAGAGTAAAGTAGCCACGAAAGTATTTAAGCATAATTGTCCCGATACTATGAATCCGACTATAGCTTGATGTGCATAGATAATTGTTCTTAAAGGCTCATAATATACATCGAACGGATATTCATTTAACATTGGAAATGGTTGATGCATTATGGAAGCTATCGCGCAGGCTGCTATCACAAGAAAATAGAAAATAACCGAAGACACACCATAGAATGCTGCATATTTATCAATGTATCGTTGAATCACAACTTCTTCACGTGATTTCATCGAGTCACAAAAATATTCCGCTTCAAAAGCAATATTCTGTAAATATAATTACATATTTACGCGCACGCGTGCATATTACATACTCACGCGTGCGCATATATGTACAAGTTGTCCGCAATTTTTGGCCAAACGCTTTTGTGTAAATAGAGCGGACTAAACTGTTAACAAGATATTAATTACAATAATTAATAAGATATTAATTATTAAAAATCGCTGATTGATTTTAATAATTTTTTATTCAAATCCTATCAACTTTATAGAAAAACAGCAAGAGACAAAAATTGCTTATTTTCTTCTCATAAAGTTCTGAAAATTTTTTAATACATATTTTCCCTTGTTGATAAAAATCATTGTCAATAAGAAAATGCAGTAATAAAAAGTTGATAAAAAATTCTGAAAAAATTCTTAGAGCTTTATGAAAAGAAAAATAAATAATTGTTTCTTGCTGTTTTTTTGTAAAGTTGTAGAATTTGCTAAATAATAGTAATCGAGTAAAAAATTATTGAAGACCAATATTCGGCAATTTTTAGTAATTAATATCTCATTAATCTCATTGCGAAAATTGCAAAATGACTTTTCGATTCAGTTTAGTCTGCTCTATCTATAAAAACATGTTTGGCCAAACATTGCGAGACACCCTTCATATATATATTACAGTGGTTACATTGGCTAAGTGTGTGTATATATATATATATACATTTGTTTATCTTTTTAAATAAAATTAAAGAAAGTTTTTAAATAAAAATTGTTTTGTTTAAGAATTGCATAGTAATTATTTTTTTATTAAACAATATTTTATTGGAAGTATTTTATTATTTTATTTTTTTACTCATGTCTAGAAAAGCAATACAATGACAATATATATATATCTCAGAAACTATTATAAAAAATAATATTTTATTATAAATTTGCAAAAAAATATCTTACTATAATAAAATATATCTATTGTTTTAAAAAATATAACTGCTATTGAAAACATTTAAAAAAGAATGTCTTTCGTTTAAGTCATTAGATCTTTTACTTTACACATAAATTTTATTTATGTGTAATTTTAGAATTTAATTAAATTTTATTCACATTTTTTAAATAATTTTCTTATTTAAAAAGATAACTGAGTTGTGAACACTTAAACCAAATACACATATTATGCTTATAGATATAATTTGTAAAATTCTTTAATATAAAATATATTGATATTAAGTACTTGTATGTGATGATAATTGACTTTGTGAAAGATAAAATTACATATGGCATGTAAAATAGGGGCTTGTTGAACAACTAATTCGACGAAAATAGCAAAATCGTTAATATGATTTACGATAGTATATATCATTGATGCCTCCATGCAAATTGCCAGAATAATACACAAATTTTGATACAGTTTCATACAGGTGATTTTAAATTTTGTTGCGTCTTTTGGCATCGGCCAACTCCATGTTATCCATAAACTTAACTTCACGCCGAAAATAACTTTTTTGAAATTCAACTTGTCCAATTTCTCTGGCTTCTCTAGCATGACTATACATATATTATACACGTAACGGCGAGAATAATCTGAACAATGTTGTAAATACTGACTTTCTTACAATTCAGTATATACAATGGAGAATGTGATAAATGAATATAAAACAAACGAAAGAGGGGAGAAATTACTATAAATGTATGAATATTCCCGTTTCATATAAAAAGAGTATACATTGATAAAATTATAGAGCACGATAAGAGTGGAGAATGCACCGTGCGTAAATTCAGTACGTAGAGATGTATAAATAAACTGTTTTTGCATTATCTATATAATGTAAGAGAGAATGCTACTAGGTTTGGTAGGGCGTTTCTACTTTATAAGTAGAAATAGCTTATTACATCTACACCTATTGATTTTAAATGCACGGTGCATTCTCTTTTCTTATCGTACCTTATAATTTTATCAATGTACTCTTTCTGTATGATACAGGAATATTTACAATGCATCTATAATAATTCCTCTCCACTCTCTTTACTTTATATTTATCGTACACTCTTCAAATTCATTGCATATCAAATTGCATAAACTTCATAATAATTTTATCGTCCTATGTGTAAAGAAAATACGTAGAAAGTATCATTATATGAAATGATATGTGGTAAGAAGTTGAAGAGTTCAAATTTCTATTCATTTAATTTTTATGTCATAATTTTTTTAAGAGACCGGAATTTTTTCCTTGAGATTCTACAATATACAAGCGTACAGTAGCTATATAGAAACATATTTATCATACGGCGGGGAACATTTAGATTTTAGAAAAGATTTTATAATATTTAAAGATCGTAATCAGATATTGAAGACATTATAAACAAATTTTTATTCTCTAATTTTGATAAATAAAACGGGTATGTTTAATAGTAAAAATGATTTATTTTGCTATTTTGAAGTGATTTCTGTATAATATGATATTTTGTATATCATATTAAGTATATTAGTATGAGTACTTTGTAATGTAAGAATATAAGATGCATCATTCTCGAGGACGAACTCATCCAATGTATATATAGTGGCTGTTTTTTAAGCAATCAAAAATTTGTTTCAAATTGTAAAGCAACATGACTATTTTGAGGTAAAAATTTGATTGGTTGTTTGTTTTGATCTATTATTCTATCACCATTATGCGCAATAATATACCTTATATTTTTGCATCATTCTAAGATGCTTTTTAATACGTATGTTCAAAAAGTTCTTAAACTTTGTTTTTATAATTTTTTAGATTCATTTACTTATTCGACTTTCTATTCTTCGAAATACTCTCCTTTTTTGGTTGATATATGATATCATCAATTGTGAATTTGGCAACAATGAAATAGTGAATCGGAGGTATCATTTAACAGAAATGCTGAAATGTCTGAAATTCACAGGAGAACTATAAACGATTTGAAACTATAACTTATGCGACTTTGAAAGATGCATATAGTTCTGCTTTTAGAAGTAAACAGGCATTGGGAGAGGTATGTTCAAGAGAAGGAGAAGGAGAATATTTCGAAAGAAAAGAACTGAATAAATTGTAATTAAAAAAATATATTAAAATATAAAAATAAAGTAAGAATCTTTTGAATACAACATCGATATATTATATTTACTATTTGTGTATATTATATTAATCCTCGAATACTATTGAATGCTATATAGTATTGCTATCGATATAATATTTTTATTTAAGGAAATAAACTATTCTTAATTAATGTAACACAAGTTTTTCAAACATTTTACATTTTAATGATACAATATTTATAATCTAGACTTGATAAACACAAATAATCTAATTACGAATCTAATTATTATCTTAAAAAGAAAAAAAGAATAAATACATTTAAATTCAATCTTGAAGTGATATGCAGTATTAGTCCAATCCTTATTGTGTATGTCTTCTCATAACATTTGAATAAAATATATATAATAACAGTATAATAATAAACAAAACTACTTAAATTGAAATCACTTATTACGGTCGTTGATATAACATTGATTATTAGGGAATTTAAACTACAAGAAACAAAATTTTTGAAGTCTGATCTAAATAAACATTAAAACCTATTCAAATAGTTTAATAATTTTGTAATTTATAATAGATATAATGCAAAGAATTTATTGTTATTATAAAAATATGCTACTTATCCAAATTCTTTCTCTTCAAACATCATTCGCATTGTAGTAAAATAAGAGAATATGGTTGAAAGATACTGAAACATATGTTATATTATGGATGCATATATTATATTATGGATGCATTCATTTCTTGTAGCAAAAGTTACTATGCGATTTCCGATATTCACTAGCGCTGAAACTATAGAGTACTATACGTACTATACATATTATAATAATACTATATGTACTATACTATAAGTTACGTTAGATACTATAGAATATAAGTTTGCGTTATAGATTTTTAGCATTGGTAGTGAATACCGGAACGCATCTTATATGTGTAAATGTGTCTTAATTATAATAGCATATTTGTAAATTATTCTAAAAAATTGATATCTATTTATTTCTTATGTAGGGTGTGACTAAAAATAAGTATTTTAAGAGTATAAGTAGAATCCTACCGGAACTAGAGTTTTGCCGAAACTCGGCTACATGTCAATTTCAATCGAAACCAAAACCAAAATTAAAAAATAGGAATCTTAAAGGTCTCATATATATATATATATATATATATATATATACACACACACACA